TAAATAAAATAATACAAATATTTTATAAAAAATAAAAAAAATAAAAATAAAAATCCAGATCCCCGATTTTTTTCTCCCGATTCCGATCTTTTGAAAATCACGTGATCGGCTCCGATCCCCGATCACGGGATCGGATCGGGACATCTCTAATTGTGATGTGCTATATGTGACATGTACTGTATGTAGTAACGTGTGTTGTTTATTGTTGTCTTTTATCCTCTCTTATCCTTTCGCCTGTATCTACTTGTCTTTCATCCTTTTTATTTTATTTTATATATTTTTTATAACTAATGCTGTTGATATATTGTGATTTGAAGGGTGTCTATTTACCATCTGGCCGGGGACAACAGCTGGAAATTAGCCATGTCGGCGAAAGCTGCTCCATTTACTGTTTTTGTGACAGTTCATCGATGGGGACTGTCCACGACACTATAAATAAACTAAACTAAACACTTGACCCCTCTAACAATAGCCGCGTTCACACCAAGTACTTTGCTGTACTTAGTGCCGGCACTTAGTGCCCCGGCACTTATTACCCCAGGGCACTAAGTACAGATCGCGTTCACACCGGAATAAGTTCCCTGAGGGAAGATTACGCAAATGAGCCGCTGACGTCACTTCGTCTTCTTCTGCTTTGGGTTTACTGGTAGGCCGCAAACCACTTCACGGTGTATACTGCCACCCGGAGTCCCCGGCCGGAGGTCCCCGGAGTTGGGGACTGGCTTCAGTAGAAGCTCCTGGGACTCCCAGCAGCTTCTACTGAAGCCTTCCGAGTAAATCACCAGAACGCCGACACCTCATCTCCACCGCTCCCATGTTTTCTTTTGTGTTGCCATAAGTTAGTCTCTCTGCGTTTGTGCGCTGGGCTAATGCTAATGCTAATAATGCTAATGCGAGGATAATAATATGGCGGCTCTACAAAACATTTCAGAGTTGTACGGGGCGTGGTTTGCAATTCGCCCAGCCAATCAGAACTGGGGCACTTTTTTCCCCCAGGAAAGTACCATCTCTCAGCAGGCACTAAAAATGGGGGTAAAGGCTTGAAGTACTCTTTTTGGTGTGAACGCGACATAAGGGGTACTAACGGAACTAAACGCGAAAAGTACGGGGAAAAGTACTCCGGTGTGAACGTGGCTATTGACTATTTACCACAAAGTGCTCTCTGCAGACCTGTTAGAAGCCTGGTGCACATAGTGAGTGCAGAGGCATGATGGGAACTGGAGGCTATATTTTACACATTTCTACACCTCACTACGGTGAGGTGTAGAAATGTGTAAAATATAGCATTTTATGACACAGTATTACATGCTTAAGGAGGACTGTGTGATTAATCATACCCACGTGTGGATAGTGTACCTGCCTCATAAATCAGAGGCAGTCAGAAAGGATCCAGATCTCCCAGCAGAACAGCAGGAGGCCTGGATCCCTGCGCTGTGTCTCCGGAGACGGCTCATAGAGACATCACATCCTCGCCAGCTCTCAGTGCTCTCTGGGGAGTTTATCAGTCATAAATGATTATCTTCTCAAAACAGCACTTGCTTATACAATTTAACACTTTTGTATATGACATTTAAAATGTTTATCTCCACTGTATTGCTAAGTATCGCAGTGGGAATTGTCGTTTACTATAAAGGACGATATGCAACCGGAAGGTGAAAACACATATTTGTATCTGTCCATTTTGCATTTGAGTCATGTCCTGACTGTAGATCATTTGATAAGGAAAAAGTGACATGATTACAATATGACAAGTGACATTATGAAACAAAACCGACATTTTGAAAAAATTGAACTCATTCAAGTTTGCCTCAGATAATGAGATCATTGTTACATACAGAGCAAAAGCAGTTTATAATGTATGCATTTTTAGGAATGTATAGATGAAGACAAGCAATAAAGACTAAAGACAGTGTTCAAAGTGAGGCTGGTGTGGTTACACTGGAGATGCAGCTCTCTCTGTTAGACCTGAAGCTCCTCTGCATCATCAGGAGGATCTGTGTTCTGTTGCTTCAGGCTGCACACAGAGCTGGCTGCAGGGATCAGCCTCACTAAAGACTTCTCCAGTTGTGAGCGGGGTCTGCCAGTATCAACCAAATAAATTCCTGGAAGTATCCATGAATAATATAAAGTGGGTTAGAGGAATTGCGTGCCTGAGAGTACAGTCCTACAATTGATCCAGCATGAGGCCTGAATGATGAAAGCACTGCACTTTTGAATCTGTAGTTATTTTGAGGCATTCAAAGATTTTTAGTAGGTTTCATAGCCAACCCCATACATAATGAATGAAATACTCACGCAAGGCCTGGCGGGTCATACATCTATTTTAAGTTATTGTATCTGCATTTGGTTTCTCTTCAGCCTTAATGTGCAATAAAGCCTTATGCTTCAGACTAATGCTTGTTGGACACAGCATCTGAAACCCTGTGAAAATAAGGGTTCAGGCTCCGTCCAACTATTTTAACAACTTTTAGAAACAGCATCAACAACACAAAGTAAATAGGGGGTTAAACTTCTCTTTACTTTACACATCTGTCCATTTATAGCAAAAGTGGTGCATTTCCCTTTAATGGTCCTAGGTTCACCCATGGCTACTGTCACCGAGTGGCAGCAATGAGGATTCTCAGATGGATGTTCAAAAATAGTGTGGCTTTTTTTGCAACAAAAAACACACAACCTGCAAAATAATGATACAGAGTCGTGGGCCCCGAGTAAAACTCTATGCTAGCTTATTAGCATACAACTGGACAGACTAATCTGAACTAACAAACTGAACACAACAGAGAACCTATGATGGCTGATCCAAAGGTTACTAAGTTTGTGTGCTACAAACAGAAAATAATGTACCCCCAATTTTGATGTATGAAATTCGCTGTTCGCTGATGTGTGACCAATTTGCTAAGGTCATAAGGTCAACAAACTTAGAGGAGAACATAACTATTAAGCGTGTTTCCGACATATAAATGATCTGTGTGGCAGAGTTGCGGCCATCACACTGTCCTTCCTCAAACCAGGATCACACACTGATGTAACAGGCTGTACCCAGAGTGCAGCAGGGCCTCCATAACATCCCCTCCTGCACCTGCTGCCTCTAAACATTCCGGGGAGAATAACGACCAGCAGTGGGAGCGACTGCTATGCTGAGAGAATGTCCTCGGATGCTTTCCTATTCTGTTCAGGGTCAAACCACACGCAGCCTTTTGTTTATCCACTGAGGTCAACTGTCAACTGTGCTGTCTCAAAAAAGACTAAAAGGTGTTGGCAGGTCTTCTGCTAAACAGTGAAACCATAATATAGACCCTCCAGAAAAACGCGGGCTAAAATCCTTGATTATGCGGGCTAAAATCCTTGATTATGCGGGCTAAAATCCTTGATTATGCGATTAAACATGCGGGGTTTTTATGCGAAATATGCGGAGAAGTTGCGAAATATGCGGAAATATGCGAAAAGTTGCGAAATATGCGGGAGGCGGAAAAAAGGTGATTCTTCTCCCACACCCTGTTACTAGGCTACTACTGAATGAAAGGAAGCCCTTTTAAAGAGTTCCTATGATACACACACACACACACCTCCGCCTCATTCTGTTTTCATTTACCCGTTCGTTATCTGACCAGCTTCAATCTTGTATGTTCCAACACACAGTTGCACGGGGTGCAGAATAGTTTCCCCCCACTTTCGTGCAAGACATCTGCGTACTGCTTTGCCCGGTCTTTAGCAGAAATGTTCGTAGGCAAATGGGATGGATTCGATTTGTTCATCTTGGTCAGAGCCGTATAATAGTATAATTGTAATAGTATATAATAATAATAGTATAATAGTAGGCTATATAATAATCTATATGGCGCTGATCTTGTTGCTTTTCTCTCTCGTGTGAGTTCCACACATTCACTCTACGGTGTTGTTTACCTGCGCGAGCTGATGACATCACTACTTCACGTTAACTTTTTTTTTCCTCAATTTTGTGTGGAAAAATGCGGGGATTATGCGACCTTTTAAGAAATATGCGGCCTTTTAAAAATATGCGCTATTTTGCTGATTATGCGGTAAATTATGCGATCGCATAATCGCGTTTTTCTGGAGGGTCTAATAATAGACAACATCGTTTTTAGGTTTATATTTCCAAACACATTACGTAGGGACTATTCCTATTCTAATGCAGGCAACTCACTAAGGCTACAACTAACATGTTTTTTTATTATAAATTAAACTGCTGTGTAGAATCAGTTTTAAAATACTTGCATTCGTTTTTAAAGCTCTTAATGGTCCTGGGCCTAGGTATTTATCAGTTAGCTTTAACCTATGACCCCTATTCTGGTACTGGCCTTTTAATCGTACCCAAAGTGAAAACAAAGACCCACGGTGAGGCGTGTTTTTATCATCACGGCCCACGACTGTGCCACAGCCTCCCAGAGGACCTGAGGCAGCAGAGCACTCATCATTTTAAGAGCAAACTCAAGACCCACCTTTTTAATTAGCTTTTAACTGAATTGTATTTTATTCTAATTTATTCTAATTGTATTCTAATTTTATTCTAATTTTGTTCTTTTTATTCAGTCCTGTGTTGGTATTATTTGTTCTTTTTAATCACAAAGCTATGTTTTCTCTGGTTATTACCTGGGAAGGGGGAGATTGTATTGTTTTAATTTTTTGTGTTTGGTTTGTGAAGCACTTGGAGATGAAAAGTGCTTTATAAATTAAGTTTGGTATTAATCATTTTCAATAAAATATCAGCTAGGAAAATGCATCTTAATATCTTTAAGTATATGGCGAGAAATGGCCATCTATGGCGATCTTTAAAGGCATTCACTTTGAAATCTCTGTTACAGAAAACTACATTGAGGTTTCTGCATCACATGTTTTCTGAATCTCTGATTTCTGCTGTGATGTGGTAACGTGTTTATGTGCGGGCCCGTGGGCGAGGTGAACTGTGGATCCTGTTGGTGCAACATGAAGGTGAAATGTTAGCATGCTCTAAAAAAATTGTTCTGTTCCTTCTCCTTCAGAAGCTTGCAGCGCGACTACCGAAGACCCGGGAGGTGAGAGAGGCCCCCTACAGCTGCCTGTGCCCCCCAGGTAAGACCCTGCCCCCCCACCCATCAACCCATCCACATGTTCCTCTCTCTCTCACTGTGTGTGACGGTGTACATGGCAGCTGGTGGACTCGCTGCACCTGTGCCTGTATGCTGTTTCCATTTTGTTGCATCTTGTGTCATAATGCAAGCCTGTAACATGAGGGTGCATGGTTTGAGGCACAGGCACTTCACACTGCTTCACCTCCGAGATAGTTTTGATCCATTTCCTTTGTCACTCATAATTTAGCCAGCCAAAGAGTTACAGGAGATGCAACTTCAAATAATGGTTTCGGATTTGCATCCTAAAACCCATGCAGCTGATGCAGCTCACTTATTCACGTAATTTATAAAGATGGTAGAAAAGATTCCCATGCCTCTAATGCTCACGGGATCGGACAACTCGAGAGGTCTTATTGATTCATTAAATAATTTATTTTATAATGTTAACCACATAGAACATTGATCAGCATCGATGTAAATGTACCAGTGTTATTTACAATTATTGTAATCTTCTCTTGTAGTTGTATAAAACAATTTAAATCAGTTTCTTGGATATGCATTTTAGCCATCACACACACATCAGAGGAAACAGCAGACTGTTATTAATGCAGCCCAGCTACACACAGGTAGCTAAGCAAGGTGACATTTAATGAACTAGTTCTGTTTAAAACAACCACCCTTTATATAAAACGAATCCAAATGGAAATTATAATATTCCGTTTGCTGGATCATTACAAAGGGTAATTTCTAATATTTTGTCAACCACATAGAAACAGTTTTAGGAACATGGAGGTTGGAACTACAGCAAGGCTATTGCATTAGACTGCATTTATGACGCAGTCCCGGGATATACTGGAAGTCTATGAAGTCATGATTTGTAACTAACCGACCATGTAGGAAAATCGATACAATTTTGTTTCATCATTTGGAACTTGTGAGTTGCGTTTTTACTGTTGTAGAGTGGTGAAATGTGAACATCTCATGATGTTTATCATTTCAAAATGATATACCATGTTAGTATTTACCAGTTTCTGCTCTGGTGTGGTTTGGAAACATGCCTTCTGCTTATACTCATTGGAGCTGTAGTTGTTTGTTGAATACAGGGGTACACATGTTGGGTACGGGCCCGTTTAGGTGATCTTCTGGTGTGTGTTGTCTGCCTGTGAGAACAGGGGGAGCTCCCAGTCACCACACATTAGTGCTAATTGGTCTGTTAGTGTTTTAACATGGTGGTAAGTGTCTGTGAGAAGGCTTGTGAACGCCTGTTAAGAGGGGGGTGTGCTCGCAGCTTCAGAGGAGATTCTCCAGCCGCTGCAGGTGTGGAAGTCTTTCAACTCCCAGCTGCCAGATGGTCCGCACTTTTACAGCTTTCTGTGACTTTCTGTGTCCCACAACTGCTTCAATGGGAGTCTGGGGGAAGAAGTTAGTGCCAAAACTCACTAATTACCTGAAAGCAGTAGTGTATTCTTTATTTTGTTCTATTTCTCTGTAGTGGATGTTTCATAGAAAAGACATGTCTGTTAAAGGACAGGTTCATTACTTCTAAAGTCCCTCTTTAGTCAGGTGGCCATTTGCTGCATTCACCCTCCTGTCGTGTTCGTTTCTCAGCCCTTACTTTGGTGTTTCAGGTCAAACTTGACCGGTAACTGCTCTTACATTAAAACAAAACCATGATTAATCTCCACATTTGATTTAACACCATTTTAAGCTGTAAACAATGTCTCAGACTACTCCTACTACTGGTTAACATGAATATCTGCAGTGAGTATACAAAGAATAGACACGGAAAATGTATTCCAAGAATAACATTTTGTAGATGTTGGGTGTGCACTATCGGATGGAAGAACATAATCCCATTACCCATTCATTTCCTATGGCGCTCATTTTTGACCAGGAAAACCATAGGTGTAACAAAGCTGATTAAACCTCAAAATTCAATGAAAGTGATCAGCAATTGTATATGTTCAAATGCCTACTGTGGAGGATATCATAAACCCCTGAGCCGAACAACAGTAAAACACAATGTTTATGAGTGATGAAAATAATAAATCGGTCAGATTTGACCCAACCACGACAGGAGGGTTTAACAGGTTGTGCTCGCCATGATGATTCCTTCTTTTCATACCAGTCCTGCACACACCCCATCTCACTGAATGACTATGTGATGGGGGATAAAGTCCATAGAGGTCGCCAGAGTGTATTAATCTGTTAATTAACTCATAGCTGTCTTCAGTTCACTGAGGCTTTAGAGCACCAACAGTACATGCTGTGGATTATTGACAATGGCAGGTGACAGAGGGCGGAGCTCAGACACAGAGATATGACCCTACAGACTACATCTTATCATGTTCAATTACACAGAAAAGGGAACAGATGATGCCACAAAGAACATATATGATTGAATGTTATTACAGAATGAACACCCTATGATATAAATAGTAGAATGGTTACAATACATTTTCTCAGCATGCTTATGCTTCCTGTAATGTGTTGTTCCAAGAGTTTAGATAAGTATGTTTTCTCTCTGTGCTTTTCATGTGAAGGTCACTGTTTATTATTCTGAGCATGACATATGAAAAATGACCTTTGTAAGTTGCTAAAAGCAGAGCAATAGGTTTGACACTCTCGAAGCCTCAAAGGCCCCCCAGAGTCTGTTGTCTTTCAAATGTTTATCATGACCATGAAACAGAGCAAGAGGCCTGAATCTATGTGTAACATACGTGTGGTTGCGAGTGGATGGAGATGAATCACCAGACACATGGCTTATGGCTGAGTGAGCCTCATATCAACAGTCTGGGTATGTTGTGTATGTGCAATCACCACATGGCCCTATTAGGGTCTGAGCAGGATAGTTCTGAAGGACAATAATAATAGAGCAAAGCCTGTGAGCCGTGTTAGGCAGACAACTGGAGTGCAGTGACACTCACATGTGACATATTCTAGTAACCCAGCACACTCTTTGCTCTGAGAGGTTGTGTGTTAGCAGTCAGTGCTCAGCTTACTTCTATAATGCTGCTCCCTCACACTGCTTACACACATGAGTCCACATATCACACTTTCCTGAAGTTGTTTCAACAAAATATATTTGAGTATATGGTGCAGACTATTGGGATGCACCTAGTATAGGACTCAAAGTTGACAGATTGCTGAACTGATCACATTACACAACTGTCTTACTGTCACTGAATACAAGAAATGTCACTCAAACTAAAACCGAAGTCTCTGTCCTCCAAACTTTATGGTACGAGAAAAGAAGCAAGACCACGCGTGAGAAAATAGTTATTTCCTCCAACAATGGATACAAAGGTTCAGGTCCCAATCGAACCAAAAACATGGAGTGTGGACCGGTAGCTGCTCTGCCACCTCTTTCATTCAAAGGTTTATTGTCATAACATATACACAAATACAGTGTAATTATGTAATGCATAATTCATTAGTGCGCATGTATAGGTCCTGTTTGTGTGTACTTTGGGCGTATATGTATATTTCAGAGAACATTTTAATTGAAGTTGATCTTAATTCTATCCTCCATCCTGGGATCAATTAGATAAATTCTCTGCATCAACATTTCGATTTTGGTGTAGAGTTATGGTTACAGACAGTGAGCTTGTTCAGTTAGCTATTCCTTCTCTTGATGGGTGCTTCTGCTACACAACAGTAAACATACCATTTGCGGCTTAAATAAGCTCTGCCAGATCTGGACAGTAACTATTAAAGGAAGTATACCTCATGGTCACATAAACAGAGGCTGTGTTGATGTTCTGCAGGGGGTCAGGCATTGTTGTGTTTCAGCACAAAGGATACACAGTGTATACATTATACAGTGATATATGAGTGTGAACATACATCAGCCTCATCCTGTCATAAACAATGTTCTGTCAGAGCCAAATGACACATCCCACCAACTATTATTTTGGAGCAAAGCCAACACAAGGTCATATCTGAACAAACACGCATTAGTCGACGTAGTTCATCGGGTCAAAGCAAAGAGCAGAGGACCATAGCAGGGACATGATGCAGTCTGAGAGCTGACAGGGTTCCTCTGGGACCAGACCAAAGAGAAGAGGAGAAAAGATTTGAAAAACCAATACCCCTCCTCCCTCTCTTGTCAATCGCATTTCCGCCTCAGCAAAGAAGCCCTCATTCACGGATTTAGCTGCTATATGCAGCTACAATAGGGGCGTTCACACCAAGTACTTTTCCCACAGTAGTTCATGAGAACTTTAGTTCATGAGAGCTCTTTTAGTTCTGATGAACTAAAGCAGATCGCGTTCACACCAAAATGAGTTCCTGGGGGTGGATTAGGCAAATGAGCCGCTGACGTCACTTCTTCTTCTTATGCTTTGGGTTTACTGGCAGGCCGCAAACAACTTCACGGCGAGTACAGTAGGTGGCGGTATGCACCTTAAAGTTGCAATCCGCCAAAAAACCGAGAGAAGAAGAAGAAAAAAAACTTCCGCTGTATGCTTCTGTTTACCTTCCGACCTCAGACACGGTATGGAGTTGACTGAAGTTGTGGTTTTGGTGCTCGTGTTATACAGCTTCGTAACTGAGTTATTTAAGCCAATAACTCAGCCACAAATACAAATACAGATCGACCATTCAAATGCAATAGTAATGCTGACTCGGAGGCGAAGGCGGTTAAGAAGCCTTAACAAAAGGATTGGACGACGAAAAGCACACGCTATGGACATGTTTCGCCGTAGGACAGCTCAGGATGATGAGCGTTATCACGCCAAAAGAACAGCATCTTTACTGTGATAAATACATACATGTTAAGCATACACACCTGAAGAACTACGTTACACACACACAGGTTAGTCTGTGTACCGCTGCACTGCTGCTGGTTTAAACAAAGACAGTCATGATGCTAGTGCCGTGCAGCAGATCATCTTCACTGTGTGTTGTCGCCCAGGTTGCCCACTGCAATCTTAAACACAGCTATAGTGTATATAATGCAACAAAAGAAAAACGTACCTTGTCCACCAAGAGTGGACGCGA